AGTAAAATTTTTTGATTCCTTAGAAGAAAGAATTCAAACGCACTGCGAAGAAATTAGAGGTGAAAATAAAGTGTTGCTTTTAATAAACTGTCAACAGTTTAAGATTCACTGGGTTTCATAAACTATAATTATGAAAAATCTAGAATTTTGTTAGATGGCTTCACTCAGAAGTAATATCTGTAGGAATAACACTCTATTTATAAATTCCAAACTTCGTACATCCATGAAATATCTACTATCATTAAAGAAACATAAATAAAGATAAATAAATAAACAAATAAAGATGCGTCGATATCAGTGGACAATTCTGCTAAAAACTGAGACTTAGAACTATTTCCATTAAATATCATATTATTAAGGATATGATAAAAGACGAAAATAAAGGTAGAGAAATACAGTATGCGTTTGTTCTTACTTCCTATCATTATTCCTCTTCCTTCTTTTGTATTTATTCTTTTCTTCTGCTTTTTGTCTCCCTTCTTTCCTAAGCTATGCTATATCCAACACCAGCACCACTACCCCCTCTCTCCATGGGTCTTTAGATCGAAAACCAGTTGACCGACAACCCCGATTTTGACCTTATTGACAAGGGCCTCACCCACCTTGACCGAGAGAGAAATCTACAAGAGATTTAGCGACCTTGGTTGACCCCTCACACCCCCTTCCCTCTTCTTTACTCACAGTTATATTTTTTTATGATGGTCATATTTGTGGATCTTAAAAGAATATTTATAATGATGATAATGACAGAAAGGAAAAAAAACTCAGTAGAAACGGTGATAACTGAAATGTAATAGCAGTTGTAATGAAAATGACGATGGTATCTACAATAACGATATAATAAGAGCGGTCATTTCAAAAGAAAAAAATATAATAACAGGACTAATAGTAAAAGTAACTAGAAGCACTCAGCGAGCGCATGCCTCCGCCAAGGCAATAGAATCACTGATGTAATAAAAAAAACATTCACACAAAGAATTACATTAATTTCACCTCATTCTCAAGTACAATGGCGGCGTCCGTGTTTTCCTATCTCTCAATGTTAATGCATCCTTAAAATAATAATAATAATAATAATAATAATGAAATCCTGGATAAGGATCAACACCCAAATCTAATGGCATCTAAGTTGGGCTAAGGCACACCGGGAGCAAATTTCATAAAAAACTGTTCTGAATTTTTTGAGTTATCCTGCGAACCAACTATTCAAATAGCTAAACAACGCTACTAAAATCATAACCTCCTTGGCGAAGGTAATGATAATAGCAAATATGATAATGATAACGTTATTAATGAAGAATATAATAAATGCAATGGAGGTGATAACAATAGTAATAATGATAATGCTGAAAATGATAATCATTATTATTTTAGTAATGATAATGATAACAATATTAATGATAATTGTAATAATAGCAATACTGATGATGATGATAGATACAATAATGATAATAACAATGATGATAATAATTAGAATAATAGAGATAGTAATGATGCCGATAATAACAATGATAGTAATAATAATAATAATGATATTGATACTAATAATAGTATATAGATAATAATAAATATAAATAATAAAAAATAATAATGATGATGATGATGATAATAATAATAGTTAATGATACATAATAATATAATAATAATACATGATAATGATAATATAATATTGAGCGATGATTTTTATATCCCTATATAATCGTCTCCCCATCTCTCTATCCCTTCTCTTGTCTCTCTCCTTTCCTCCTCCCCCTCGCTGTCCTTGTCCCACTCTCTTTCTCTCTCCCTCTTCTCTCTTTTCATCTCTCGTCTCTCTATCTCTCTCTCTCTGCTGTCCCCCCCACTCTCTCTCNTTATCATAATCACATTTTTTTATTAATAGTATCATTAATTTTTGTTGTCTGTACTATCATTAATTATCATTATTATCATTATTGTTATCATTTCATCATTTTTATCATTATTATTAGTATCATTATCATTACTATCATTGCTACCATTATCATTATTATGATTATCATTAATTCTATTATTATCATTATAATTATCATTAGCGTTATTATTATTACTATTATTATTATCATTATTATCATTGTCATTATAATTATTATCATTATTATCATCATCATCATTATTATCATCAATATTATTCTTAGCGTTATTATCGTTACTGTTATCATTATATTTATTATCATAATAATGATGATGATAATAACCTTTATTACCATTATCATTATTATTACTATCATTATTGTTATTATCATTATCATTATCATTATTATGATTAGCAGTAGTAGTAGTAGTATCATTATCATAGCTATTATTATTATCATTGTCATTATTATTATCATTATTATTATTGTTGTTGTTGATGTTGGTGTTGTTGTTGTCATTATCATTATTATTATCATTATCATTATTATTATTATTATCATTATTATTATTATCATTATCATTATTATCATTATTGTTGTTGTTGTTGTTAACTTTATTATTGCTATCATTATTATTATCATCATTAGTTAGAGCATCATTATCATCATTGTTATTACTTTTATTAACAATTTCATTACTTTATCATTATCATTATCATTATCATTATTTTCATTATTATTAATATTACTATCATTATTTTTTTAGAAACATGAATAGGTGCACGTGAATACTAACATGAATACGTACATACACACATACATGAATACACACACACACACATGAATACCGAATACGTACACACATGGATACACACACATAGATACACACATGAATACGTACATACATGAACACGTACACACATGAATACGTACATAGAAAAAACATTAAATTTTCTTACATTCAGATATTAAGCTGAGGTCAGTTCCTACATACACGAAGCCCGAGATATTACTTTTCAATTATCAGAATTTAACTCATTATGTGAACCAGACATAGGAAATCACTTGATAAGATTAGGGTGATGAGGAGGGAAGTGAAGAAGAAGGAAGAAGGGGAAGAGAAAGGGGGAGGAGGGGGAGGAGGAGGAGAACGGAGGAGGGAGGGCAGGGAAGGAAGATGATAAAAATGGAACCCTTGATGGACGGTGATAATGTACACGGGGCAATAGGGAAGCGAAAAGAAAGAGGAAGTGAGAGAGAAGTAGAGAGAAGAGAGAGAGAGAAGTAGAGAGAAAGAGCCAGATAGAGAGAGAAGTAGAGAGAAAGAGCCAGAGAGAGAGAGAGGAGAGAGAGAAGAGAGAAAGAGCCAGAGAGAGAGAGAAGTAGAGAGAAAGAGCCAGAGAGGGAAAGGAGGAGAGAAAAAATGGGGAGAGAGAGATAAGGAGAGAAAGATGGGGGGAGAGGGAGAGGAAGAGAAAGAGGGAGAGGGATAGGAAGAGAAAGAGAGAGAGAGAGGAAGTGAATAAGCGAACTATATAAAGGGAGAGAAAGAAGGAAAGAATGGGGAAGAAGACAAAAGAAACAAATAATCATGTAAGAGAGAGAGAGGGAGAAGGAGAGAAGGAGGGGAGGAAGCGGAGAGACAGAGAAAGAAAGAGCGTGTGAAAGAGAGACGGAAGGGGAGAGGAATAATAAAGAAAGAGGGAGAGAGAGAGAGGGAGAGAAACAGGACGCAGACAATGATGAAATTATGAAGTGTCGGAAGAGAAAATGAGAGACGAACGGGACCGGGACAAAGGAAGTAAGAAGTCGCTTGATGATTTAGGAGATGGAGAGAGAGAGAGAAGGAGAGAGGGAGAGGGAGAAGGAGGGTGGGGGAGGTTGGGAGGGAGGAGGGAGGGGAGAGAGAGAGAGAGAGGGGAGAGAGGGTGAACGAGAGGAGGGAGAGGGAGGAGGGAGGGAGGAAAGGAGAGGGAGGAGAGAAGAGAGAGGAAGGGAGGGAGAGGGAGAAGGAGGGTGGGGGAGGTTGGGAGGGAGGAGGGGAGGGAGAGAGAGCGAGAGAGAGAGAGAGAGAATTGGAGACAGAGGAGAGAGGGAGGAGAGAGATGGAGAAAGAGAGAGTGAGTGAGAGAGAGAGAGAGAGAGTGGAGGGGGGGAAGAGAGGAGAAAAGATGGAAGAGGTAGGAAGAGAAGAAGAGGTAGGGAGAAAGAGAGAAAGAAGGGCGGAAGGAGAGAAAGGGAAAGGCGATAACAGCATGGTCTTGGAAGAGTTATGTCCATTCTTGATTCTGATTCCCTTCTCCTTCTCCTTCTCCTTCTCTTTCCCTTCCTTCTCCTCCTTCTCCTCACCTTCCTTCTTCTTTCTTCCTCTAATTTTCCTTCTTCGTCATCTTTTTATTTCTTCTTTTTCTTCTGCCTTCTGCTCCTTCTTCTTATTCTTCTTATTCTTATTTTTCTTCAGCTTTCTGATCTTTCATCTTCTTCTTCTTCTTCTTCTTTTCTTCTCTTCTTCTTCTCTCTTCTTCTCTTCTTCTTCCTTCTTCTTCTTCTTCTTCTTCTTCTATATTCGCAATTATCGACTACTTCCATCGTCTCTTGCTCTCACCATCATCATCAGTAACATCGACACACTGTTATCTTATCGTCATTATCTAAACACCAACGTTAACATGCGGAACATAATTCTTTGCTTCTAAGGCTTTATCGGGTGAATGTGTTGTTATGTTGCAACATTATGTGGCTATGAAGTGTTGTTACGACACTAGGAGGATAAGACAACATTATAATTATTATGATAATAGTTCGTTCATTTACATTTCATTTTGCTTTACTGCAATACTGGAACATTACAACATATCCACATCATCATAACAGAGGTTATATTTATTTGAACCATTATGTGGCTTTGAGATGTTATCATAACATTAGTAGGTTAAGAAAACATTATAATCCTCATAATAACAATAAGTTCAATCGCTATTGCACTCCAGTTTGCAACATAGTCTCCCTGTAACATTACAGCATACCACATAACCCAGAACACATCGGCATATCACTGCGCCACATCACTGCAATCCAATGTTACTTTACCGAATGACTCCGACACTATTCCACATAACCCTAACGATGAGGCCACATCAACCACACCTTTTATACCACATGAGGCCACATCACCACACGGCCACATCCCACCACTTTTACCACATCGAGGCCACATCACCCACACCTTTTCACCACATGAGGCCACACATCACCACACCTTTTCACCACATGAGGCCACACCACACGAGGGCAACATCACCACACCTTTTTTTCACACATGAGGCCCACATCACCACACCTGAGGCCACAATCACCACACCTTTATACCGCATGAGGCCACATAACCACACGAGGCCACATCACTACAAACCTTTTCACCACATGAGGCCACATCACCACACCTTTTCACCACATGAGGCCACATCACCACACGAGGCCACATCACCACACCTTTTCACCACATGAGGCCACATCACCACACGAGGCATACACACCACAACCTTTTCACCACATGAGGCCACATCACCACACACCAACATTTTTGAGGCACATCACCATCACCACACCTTTCCACCACATGAAGGCCACAACACCACATGAGGCCACATGAGCCACACGGCCAGCACACCTTTTCACCACATGAGGCCATCACCACACCTTTTTCACCACATTGAGGCCACATCACCAACGAGGCCTCACCAACCTTTTCACCACAATGAGGCCACATCCACCACACGAGGCACATCACCACACCTTTTCACCACATGAGGCCACTCACCACCCTTTTTCACCAACATGAGGCCACATCACCACACCGCACGCCACATCACCACACACCTTTTCACCACATGAGGCCACATCACACACGACCACATCACCACATTTTCACCACATGAGGCCACATCACGCGCCACCACAAGGCCACATCACCACACCTTTTCACCACATGAGGCCACATCACCACACGAGGCCACATCACCACACCTTTTCACCACATGAGGCCACATCACCACACCTTTTCACCATGAGGCCACATCACCACACGAGGCCACCATCACCAACACCTTTTCACCACATGAGGCCAACATCACCACACCTTTTCACCACACGAGGCCACATCACACACCTTTTCACCACATGAGGCCACATCACCACACCTTTTCACCACATGAGGGCCACATCCAACGAGGCCACATCACCACACCTTTTCACCACATGAGGACACTATCCGACACTGTATCAGGACATGTATCATCTCTTTTACTCGCACAATTGCTAAGGCACTGTCCTCCCACCATCGGTTAATTTTGGTGCCACAAGGACCGGTGACATTTTAGGTTGGCACTGTAGGAGATTGTGATGGCACTGAATCCTGGCGTGAAGCTATTCTTATTTTTCTTACTCTGATCATTGTTGTTATTATAATGTATTTTCATTTATAGTAATATTGGATCAATACTTTTAGCTTTGATGTTATTATGATATTACCAATCATAAATTTTATTATTGTTACTATTATCATTATTATCATTGTTATTTTTATCATCGCTATTGTTGTTAATATTATTATTGTTATTTTCATTATTGATAATATCATTATTATCATCATTATTATTATTATCATTATTGTTATTACTATTATTATTATTATTACCATTATTATTATCATCTATTAACATTATTATTTATTATTTATTATTATTATTATTATTATTATTATTATTATCATTATTATTATTATTATTATTATTATTATTATTATTATTATTATTATTATTATTATTATTTATTATTATTATTATTATTATTATTATATTATCATCATTATTATTTATTTTACTATATTATTCATTATTATCATTATTAATATTATTATTTTTATTATTATTATTATTATTATCATTATATTATTATTATTAATTATTATCATTATTATCATTATCATTACTACTATTGTTATTATTATCATGATGATGATTGTTATTATTATTCATGATGATGATTGTTATTATTATCATTATTATCATTACCACCAGTATATTTTTATCATTGTTATTATCATTATTATTATCAATATCATCATCAATTATCATTGCTACTGTTATTGTGATTAATCATTATTACCATCATCATCAACTATTGTTATCATTTTCCTTATTATCATCATTATCATTATCACCATCATTATCATTATCATTATTACTACCTTCATCATCACTGCAAATATTACACTCTCATTGTCGTTTTTAATCTGCATCACTGGACACCACTATCATAACTATCAACATTGTTATTATCACTACGAGGCATCACTCATTATCATATTTTTTGTTATTATTGTTATCATTATAATTATCATTATCATTATCCTTACTACTGTTAATACTATTAATACTATTAAAACTACAACTACTACTACTACTATCATCATTATTATCATGATAATTATCATTATTGTCATTGCCTATTATTATCATCATCGTAACTATTATTATGTTATCATTATCATTAACATTATCCCATTTATTAGTATTATTGTTATTCATCATCATCGTCATTAGTAATCATCATCATTATCATTATCATTATGATGATGATTATTTTCATATTAATTATCATTATCATTTATTATAATCATTATTATTATCTTTATCTTTTTATTATATCATCATTACAATCGTATTGGTACCCATTATCATTATTATTATCATTTCATCACTGTTATTAATGTTATATCATTGTTATTAATATTGTGATTCATTTTTTTATCATCATTATTCGCATTATCATCAATTATTATTGTTACTACTATCATCAAATCGTTATCATTAATCATCATTATATTATTATCATTTATCATTGTTATTATCATAGTTTATTTATTATCATTATCATATTTTCTATTATAACTGTTGTTATTATTATTACTATTATTATCATTATTATTATCATTATTATCATTATTATTATATTATTATTATTATCATTATCATTATCATCAATCATCATGATCTTTATCAATTATTTTATCATGATCTTTATATTGTAATTGTCATCAATCATTCATCATTATCATATTATTATCATTATTACTATTATTATTACTATTGTTTTTTTTAAATACAATCGCTGCTGTTGCTATCTTTATTAGTGTTATAATCATTAGAATCATCAATGACCTTTATCATCATAATCATTATCGTCATTGTTTATTATCATTATGACATCATTATTATCATTATTACCATTACTACTTTTATCATCATCATTAATATTATTGATGCTGTTATTTTCATTGTTATCATCATTACCATCACCATTCCTATTATTTTCATAATTATCGTTATTACTATCATTATCATCATCATTATTACTATAATTCGTCATATAGATATCATCATTGTTATTTTAACCATTATCATTATTTTTATTATCATCAATTAATCGTTATTATTACGTTTATCATTATTATTATTATTGTTACTATTATTAGTATTGTTATCGTTATCATCATTATCAACTTATTTTTGTTTATTGTTATTGCTAATGTTGTTATTGTCTTTGTTATCATTATTATCATCATCATTATTATTATTATTATCATTATCATTATTATTATTATTATTAATATTATTATTAATTATTATTATTATTATTATTATTATATCATATTATTATCATTATTATTATTATTATTATTATTATTATTATTAATTATTATTATTTATTATTATTATTATTATTATTATTATTATTATTAATTATTATATATTATCATTATTATTATTATTATCATTTCTAATACTATTAACATCATTATCATTATTATTATCATAATAATAATATATAATAATATAATAATAACAATGATAATAATGATAATAATAATAATAATAATGATAATAGTGATAATTATTATTATTATTATCATTATTATTATTATTATTATTGTTATTATTATTCATTATTATTAATTATTATCATTATTATCATTATTATTAATCATTATTAAATTATCATTATTATTATATTTTTTCCATTACTATTATCTTTATTATATCATTAATCAGTATTATCATTAAACTTTAACATTATCATTATCATTATTAGTTTATTAACTTATTATCATTATCATTATCATTATTATTATCATTATCAGTATTATTGTTATCATTATTATCATTATTATCTCATCATTATGTATTATTGCTCATTATTATATTACTTTTTTATCATTATTATTATCATCTTATTGCTTCATTATTATCATTATCATGTATCATTCATTATCATCATTATTACTATTAGCCCACTATATCCATCTTTGTTATTATCATACCATTATTATCAATTTCACTAATACTATATGTCATCATTGTTATCATATTGTCTCTTTAAAATTGTTATGATTACTATCATTATATTTTTGTTACTATTCTCATCATTACTCTTATTAATGTTACAATGATTATTACTAGCAGTTATTGTTGTCGTAATAGTAGTATCATCAACATTATCATTTTTTATTATATCGTTATCATCATCATTATTATCATCATTGTTATTACTACTGCTGTTGCTGCTGCTACTACTGCTATTATTATTATCATTTTATCATTTTCATTATCATCATTATCATTTATCATTATCATTATTACTATAATTGATATTATTGTTATTGTCATTACTGTTATTATTATTTTCTATCATCATTATTGTTATTATACAATTTTTGTTATCGTCATTGTTATTATTATCATTGTTGTTTTATCATCATCATAATTATTATCAATAACTATTATATTTATAATTATCATCATAATAATCATCATTATCACTTTTATTGTTATCATTATTAGTAGTTGTAGTAGTAGTAGTGTTTTTCAATTATCATCATTATTGTTACCATTATCATCACCTAATATCAGTACTATTATCCGGCAGTTGAGTATTTTCTTGTGGATTAGGAAGAAAGTAGAAGGACTTTTGGGAACTTCAAATAAAAAGTGAGAGAAAGAGAAAATGAGAAGAGAGAGAGGAGAAAGAGGGACAAAGGATAGAGAGAGAACTGAAATAAAAAGAGGGAGAAAGAAAAAAAAAGAGAGAGAGGTGGGGGAAGAAGGAGAGGCAGACAGACAAGAGACAAACAAAAAAAGAAAAAGAACAAAAAAACAGACAAAAATACGAACAAGTAAACAGAAACAAACAGACAAAAAAACACCACTCATAAAAGACAAACGGACAAGAAAACACACAAACAGAAAGAGGAGAGAAAGAGACGCCAAGACAGAGCAAGAGAACCCACAACGAGAGAGGGAGAGCGATAGCAATGGCCATAACGCGGGAAATAAAACCCACAACCCAAAAATATATCTCTAGAAAGGGCAATTATTATGAGAACACATAAAAGGGGCAAATGTGAAGAGGGTTTTTTTTCTAGGAATTAAAGAGGGAGTAAATTCTTT